ATCCTTATTTTGTTATTTTAAGTTTGATGAATCCTAAGATCTTTTTGTCACTGTGTCCACACCAGTAATAGTAATATTTCTGTCCAGTATTTGTTTTCATGGCAACACCTCCAAAAGTCGTTTCAATAAATACAGCCATGTATGAATTCAGTTGCTTTCAGTTATGTATCAATTGAAGACACTATCCAGATCACACCCAGCCAGTCAGCCACTGGCAATGGCTGTATCTTTTTCTTACAGTGTTCAGTGAAAATATCGCAATGCATCGCAATATTTCAAGTATCATGATGCATCGTGATGGAATCGCATCGTGGCATGTGAATCGTGATTCGAATTGAACCGTGGCTTCTTTGCCAATATCCACCCCTACTCATTACTGTGCCTGATTTACAGACTGAAGGAGAGACAAGCGTTACTAATGAGCGCAGCTGTAGCTGAGCAGAAACAAAGAGAAACAAGAATAAGAAAAAGATAAAAAGCAAAGGATGTCGAAACATATTTGGACTTTGGCAGAATAACCTGATCAGATATTTGCCGGTTCAGATTCAGATGTTAATAAATAACTTTTGTTAACATGCAGTTGTTGTTTTTTTCATTGGTGAATTCTAATGATTGATATTATAATTAGTATGATTATTACATTTATTTTACTATAGCATTTTGACAAAGGTAATTAGCAGTTATACAGTGTACTACTAGAAGTGCTGAAACGATCCCATCAGCACATTTTATTCATTCACTCTTAATTTATCAAGCCCCCTTTTTTGCAACCATTAAAGCATGAATGTTGGTGAGTTTTGGAAAAAGATGTACCATAATCCCAGTGCTCTTGAGTTCACCACCCATCCCCCCCCTTCAAACCTACTACCCAAGCAGAGCAACAAATAGCCCACAGTGTTCAGGTAAAGGGACTGAACCTTTCCATTCCTTAATCCGTTTTTTTAGCTCTCTGCTAATTTCATGCCAGGGGAAACACTGTGGAGGCATTTCCTGTGTTTGTCTGGGGTCGCTGCTTTCTATTACGACATGCACCGTCAGACAAGAGAAACATACACATACACAAATTAGTCTTTTCATTAAGAAGAGACTTGAGAGTGGAGGGCAGGGAGTGTTTGTGCTTTAATGTGTGTGTGGGTGGGTGGTGTTCATTTCCAGGAAGAGGTACAGAGGAGGGAGAGTTTATATACGTGTGTGTGTGTGTTACTAAGTGGTTTCCTTGTCCACCGGGTGTATCCTGTTCAAAGACACACTCACCCTGAGGGTCATACATATGTGTGTGTGTGTGTATTCTACATTAACTTTATCAACAACAACACACGCACTAATGCCGCAGTTTCTGTTGACTCCACATTCTGTTGACGATAAACCTAATTGTTGTGGTGTCAGGATTGTCGCATCCACAGCATCACTGAGGAGAAAATTAGTGTGTTTTTCTTTTTTGTTGTTTTCTTTTGTTTTTTTGTTTTTTTAACGCCAACTTCTGACATGGTCTCTAAGAGAGCGAGAAGGTCAAAGTTTAAAAAGAGACTGTTGCATCATTAAACCTTAAGAGATCAGCAGCACTAAGGTATTGCGTCAGTCATCTTGATGAAACCAAATCTAGTAAATTAGTCCAAGCATGTCATAGATTTTTTTATTGCTGTATTATCAGAACACTATGCCATGATTGGATTTTGATCCCTTTAAATCAAGCAGTTAAACTGTAGGTTGTGTTTTGCATTTTTAAAAATACCTTTTAAAGATAGAGTTACAGCAGAAAAGTGGAAGAGTAGACCTGCAGTGGAAGAGTAGACCTGCAGTGGAAGAGTAGACCTGCAGTGGAAATACCGTATAACATTGATACAGGTATTAGTTATAAATCATTTATTACAGAATTTATGCTGTTAATCTGCACAGAAAAAAAACAGAAAAACAATCAAAATGTTTGGGATCTTTTTACAGCCTTCTTGGATTTGTACCTCATCAATAGGGATTTTGATTAGTAGAATAGAAAAGTAGAATAGAACAAATAGTATTTGTCCCAACTGTTGCTCCCTCAGCGTCAGATAGTGAAGAACATACTTAAAAAGCACAAGAAAATCAGCAACAGAAAAGAGGTATTCAATAAAAAGTAGAAAATAAGTTCCCATTTATTTAGTTTAAAGTGAATATTGCAAATGTTATCAATGTTTTTTTTTTACTGGGTTTTTTTGCCTGTTTGTAAAGTTTTGCTCTTCATGTTGGATTTTTCTGACATTTAGATCCTTTAGCTAAGTCAGTTAGTGGCAAAGAACTAAAGAGATATAATTAACAGATCAGTCAGGAGAATGATACAAAAAATGTCCCACTCTTTATCGATACCATGGTAGAGTAAAGGCAGTTATGGGGATTGTGATATCGATGGTTGGTTAAAGGGGCCACAAGGGCCAGTGCCTCTGTAGCACTGGTCCTGTCCCCTGTATATACATCTACTACAAAAAAGTTAAATATTATTAAGTTAATTTTTCATTTGATTGAAGCAGGTAATTAGACAATGTATCAATGGAATAAGATGATATATGTCTAAAATAGGAAAAAAAAAAGTTATTAACTTAATTCACATGTATAAAATGCGTTCTTTGGAACAGTATCTGCACAATTTAAGGGCAAATACGCTTATTTATAGAAATGTTTACTTTTATAGATAGTTTTTGTCCTGTAATATTAAATTTTACAGTACAGAATACAGAAAAGACTGCAACTGTAATGTCGGTTAAACCAATTTAAATATTTCTCTTTTACAGTTTACTATAACCATTATTTCAGAATTACAGTTAGCTTTAAGCTTCAGTCGTACACAGATAGGATCCCAGTTTTCATCTGCTGGATCATTGGTTAACAACTTTGGATCTATGGCTCACTTATATACTAAATGATGTGCACTTGCCTTGGTTATTTGATTTTCTGTGTGTGTCTTAATGTTTTGTTTTGGCCCCACCCTGGCCCCTCTTGTAAATGTTCTCTATAATCACCACTAGCCATGGACAGTAGAAAAACTTGATGTTTATAAAACATTATGTATGAAACAAAGCAAAAAGAAAATGGGTCTGAAAGCCTGGATAAGGTGCTGCCAGCAAAACTGAGGGAGCCTCAGAAATTCCTGGTAACTGGTCACTAGTGACATCCTTCATGCATCTAAAGGCGGAGGGTTGTGAGACACATATTATTTCCTTCATGCAGGCCTGCTGAAAATCTCCCAGAACCACATATTATAATCTGATGAAACTAAATTTAATAAACGGCCCCAGATAAGAATGACAGGAATGTTAGCAAAAGATCACCAGTGAGCATCACCAGACAAACGGCATATACTCAGTGAAACATGGTGGCGGCTTCATCATACTTTGGGATTATTCTTTGTAGAAAATCACAATTTTTTTGTCCAAATTAATGTAATTATTGGTCGGTTCAACTAATCATCTGTTTTCAAAGCTGAGGGTAAGCAGGAGACATCTTGAAGTTCAACATTAATGTAAGATTGCTCAATAAAATATCCTACATCCTTAATTCCAAAACATTGAAAAAAATTAATAAAATAACTCTGGACTATGTTTTCCAAGTTTGAGGACATTTCGCTTCTCCAAAATGTCTGGATTAGCGAAGTTGTGTTTGCAGTTCAGTTCAGTGAGTAATGCTCTGATCTTTATATTGGAGAAACCAAACAACCTCTCCACAGACGTATGGCCCAACAAAGACCGGCTACCTCATCCGGACAAGACTCAGCTGTCCATCTTCAGACAAAGGACATTATTTTGAGGACCAGAATGTTCACATGGACAAGTAAGACAGGAGGTTTGAAACGGCTGTGAAGGGAGCCATGTATGTTAAGAGAGAAAAACCAACCTTAAACAGAGGGGGTGAACTCAGGTTCCAGCTCTCAAAAACCTATAACCCAGCGATAGAGTTGATTCCTTCCCGCTATCATAATCCTCATCGCCATGCAGGGGACCAAGACATCTCGCCTGGCACACGAGGCCAGCAATGATCCTAACCAGTCCCCTTTTCAAAGGTATAGACCAGTATCGGGTATTGCAGACTAACCAAGAGCCCAAACGACGGCCCATTCCTAAGGGTTGGACCTGCTCTTCTGGTTCAATGTGCATGTTTTCTAAGCCAAAACAAGGCTTTTGTTGGGCTACTCTATAAAGTCTGGAACTCAATGCTAATCCAGGCATTTTGTATTGAAAAAGCTTGCTGGATGGGAAGCGAAACGTCTTCCAACTTGGAATAAAAAGTCCATCGGTTTGTTTTTTAACTTTTTGATTTCTTGGAATGACTATGACCTTGATAACTGAGAATCTTCACCAGCATAAATGCTTAATTACATCTGTGGGAGGGGTGTAACATTGAGAACCTTCAGAAGGTAGAGAAGATAAGTACAAGTCAAGCTACTAAAGAAAAAGGAATATTTAAAGTGTAAAAGGATTTGAAATCCTTTGCATAATCTTAGAATATTTGGAAGTTTGTTTGATTTTGATATTATAAACGGGTATTTAAACTTAAACCTTTTTTCCTCATTTTTTTTATTTTTATTTTTTTAAATTAACTTCAATTTGTTCCTTAGTCTGTAGTTTCTTTTTTCTTTTATAGCATTCTTAGCAGTGAAAATCTGAATTTAACAGCTTCTAATTAATAAGAAAATTATATAACTGGTCAAAAAAATATAAATAAGAAATGACAATCACGTTTTTTGTTTGTGTAAATGCATAAAAGCGTAATCAAAACACAATGAACTGTAATTAATGTTGGGGTGTCCTTATCACTATTAAATCTAGTGAGAATAAAGTTTTTTTGGATAAGTTATATCAAATGAAAATTACAATCAAAGTTTTAGTAGTTTAGTGAATATGTGGAGAGCATTGCAGATTGTTAGTTTATCTCCCCATAGACTGCTGCTGCTTATCTGGACATGTTTTCCTGCTGAGTATGATTAGAGAGCTCAGATTATTCTCACCAGGAAATGCAGCTGTTCTGTGTTTGGGAGTGCAGTTGATCACCAGGGGGCTCCAGAACTACGTGGGTTTCCTGCTGCCCCCCATTAAAATCATCCACAGCAGCTGTACTTATTAAATACCCCCCAAACAGACCGCAGGCTGCCCGCTGAGCTGCACTGAGCTCACTTTGAATCCCACATTTTAATAGAGGAAAAGAAGCTTTGGAACCAAACAGCGAGTCTCATCAGAGGACTGAGGATCCCCGCTGCAGACCCACGGGTGGAACCCAGACACGCACGCGCTATCTCTGCCCTCCTGCCCTGTGTACGTGCCCCCACTTTTAAAAAAAACAATGTGAGCGTGTGCGCGCGTGCCCGTGAGGAAGGTGGGACATCGCAGGGACCTTTTTCTCTTTTCCTGATCTGTGTTGGAGCGGAAAAGTGCGGCAGCAGCTGGGAGCGCTCCTGCGGCGGATCTTCACTGAAACTCAGGCTCTGTTCCTGCTGGGCTGTCAGAGGAAACATCTCCAACTTCTGCTTCTTATTCTGGCTGCTAGAAAACATGAAGCTGTTGGAAAAGGAAGTCTGAGCAGGTACTGTAAAGATTTATTACAAGTTTAGAGGCGCAGAGGCACAAACCGATTGATCTATGTAACATTTAAAGATCAGTAATTAAAGTCGCTCTAATTAAAGTTAGACCAAAAAGTTATTATGTTTAACCCCGTTAGGTGAATGAACCATTCTGGTATTAGAAGTATGTCAACTCCTAATTATATATTCTACAGTTCCTCTGTTTGGGATGTTTCCCTTATCAGTGAGGGCTTCTGGGTTAGATCCAGAAACAGACTTTATTGAGTTTAAACTGAAGCTTTTCCAAAAACAGAGAAAGTTTTGCATGTTTTCTTTCTGAAGAATTGCTATAGATCCCATATGTTTTATCTATCTATCTACTGTATATCTATCTATCATCTATCTATCTTTCTATCAATCACCTATCTATCTATATATCTATCTATCTTTCTATCTATCAATCAATCATCTAACTATCTATCTATCATCTATCTATCTATCTATCTATCTATCTATCTATATATATATATATATATATATATATAAATATATATATATATATATCTTCAACATCGCGTGGAGGTCGGGGACAGGTCCCCTGGATTGGCAGACTGGGGTGGTGGTTCCCCTCCACAAGAAGGGGGACCGGAGGGTGTGTTCCTATTATCGGGGAATCACACTTCTCAGCCTCCCTGGAAAGGCCTATGCCAGGGTGCTGGAGAGGAGAGTCCGGCTGATTGTCGAACCTCGGCTGCAGGAGGAGCAGTGTGGTTTTCGTCCTGGCCGTGGAACAGTGGACCAGCTCTACACCCTCTGCAGGGTGCTTGAGGGTTCATGGGAGTTTGCCCAACCAGTCCACATGTGTTTTGTGGACTTGGAGAAGGCATTCGACCGTGTCCATCGTGCTGCACTGTGGGGGGTGCTCCAGGAGTATGGAGTCGGGGGCCCTTTATTAGGGGCCATCCGTTCTCTGTACAAGCGAAGCAGGAGTCTGGTTCGCATTGCCGGCAATAAGTCGGACCTGTTCACGGTGCATGTTGGACTCCGACAGGGCTGCCCTCTGTCACCGGTCCTGTTCATAACTTTTATGGACAGGATTTCTAGGCGCAGCCAAGGACCGGAGGGGGTCTGGTTTGGGGAACAACGGATCTCGTCCCTGCTTTTTGCGGATGACGTAGTTCTGCTGGCTCCCTCCTGCCAAGACCTACAGCATGCGCTGGGGCGGTTCGCAGCCGAGTGTGAAGCGGCCGGGATGAGAATCAGCTCCTCCAAGTCCGAGGCCATGGTTCTCGACCGGAAAAAGGTGGCTTGTCCCCTTCAGGTTGGAGGAGAGTCCCTGCCTCAAGTGGAGGAGTTCAAGTATCTTGGGGTCCTGTTCACGAGTGAGGGAAGAATGGAGCAGGAGATCGATAGACGGATCGGTGCGGCTGCTGCAATAATGCGGACGCTGCACCGGTCTGTCGTGGTGAAGAGAGAGCTGAGCGAAAAGGCAAAGCTCTCAATTTACCGGTCGGTCTACGTTCCTACCCTCACCTATGGTCATGAAATTTGGATCATGACCGAAAGAACGAGATCGCGGATACAGGCGGCTGAAATGAGCTTTCTCCGCAGGGTGGCTGGGCTCTCCCTTAGAGATAGGGTGAGGAGCTCGGTCATTCGGGAGAGGCTCAGAGTAGAGCCGGTTCTCCTCCACATCGAGAGGAGTCAGTTGAGGTGGCTCGGACATCTTTTTCGGATGCCCCCTGGACGCCTCCCTCGGGAGGTGTTCCAGGCACGTCCCACCGGGAGGAGGCCCAGGGGACGACCCAGGACACGCTGGAGAGACTATGTCTCTCGGCTGGCCTGTGAGCGCCTAGGGCTTCCCCCAACAGAGCTGGAGGAGGTGTCTGCGGAGAGGGAAGTCTGGGAGTCTCTGCTTAGTCTGCTGCCCCCGCGACCCGGTTCCGGATAAAGCGGGAGACGACGAGTACGAGTATATATATATATATATATAATCTATCTATCAATTATCTGTCATGTTTGGCTTAAGGTTCCTAACCCACATGCAGAACACACTGAAGCAGGAGAAAAGTTCAAAGGTTTATTTAAATGATGATTCAGCACAGAGAATAAACAGATCCAGGGGTTACCAGAATGCAGGACTGGTCATGAATGGGTTCACTGCAGAGGGGGACAGAGGAGTTAGTGGTTTCCAGGATATTTGCAGAATGAGAGTATGCAGATCTGTACCTGTTCAGGAGTTTGAGCTGAACGGCAGAAGGGGGGAACCAGGAGGGTCTAGAGGCTGTCGGCAGGCTGAGGGCTTGGCGGAGGCAGAGCTTGGTTTGAGTGTTTGCGGATCACAGGTTTGAGTTTCCCTTCTAGATTCTTCAGAGGGCGGGCAGGCAGGTCTTTGGCAGGAATGATTCTCCAGGGTTCTTCAGAGATCAGACAGGCAGATTTCCAACAGAGAAACTCTTCAGGGTTTCTGGTTTTCAGGCAGGTTCAACCTGGGAAGCAGAAAGGAGAAAACGGATCAGGTTCAGGTTTCAAGGGAGTCAGAGATTCAGACAGGCAGGTTGGCTCAGGCTTGCTAACCGTAACTGGCAAACACTCTGGCACTGGAGAGACATCCTCTGCCTCCTTAAATACAGATCCCCTGATGAGCAGAAGAGCGATAGGTGGTAGCAATCAGCTCCGGCTCCAGGAGATCTAAAACGCCCTCTGGTGGAGAAAGTGGACAGACCTCCAGATTCCAACATTATCTATCTATCATCTATTATCTATCTATCATATATCTATCTATCATCTAACTATCTATCATCTATCTATATATATATATATATATATATATATATATATATATATATATATATATATAATCTATCAATTAATTATGTATCTATCTATTATGTATCATCTATTATCTATCATCTCTCTATCTATCTACCTATCATCTATCTATATATCTATAATCTATCTATCTATTATGTATCATCTATTATCTATCATCTATCTATATATCTATAATCTATCTATCATCAATCAATCTATCTATCACCTATCTATCAATCATCTATCTATCTATCTATAATCTATCTATCAATTATCTATCTATCATCTATTATCTATCTATCATCTATATCTATCTATCATCTATCTATCTTTCTATCTGTTGTAAAGTGAGGACATTGCTGGTCCTCATGACTTATTTTGCTAACATTGAGCTTTAGGACTAAGCTTTGGGTTTAGTTTAGGGTTAGAATGAGGTATGCAGCGATAATGGGTGTGTTTTAGGGTCATTGTGAGGGTTAGGGCAAAGAAAGGGTTAAAAATGATTAAAAAAAATAAATGGGAGTCAACACATGGTCCTCACTACATATAACAACACGAGAATGTATGTGTGTGTATGTGTACTTGTTTATTTGGCATATTTAGGACCATTTTCGGTATATTTCCTGACCTTCTGAGGACCAACAGGCCCTATTAGGACCTGTTGGTCCTCAAAAGGCTGGTCCTAATTGACGGACTCCCATTTATAAACCTTACAGAGTCAGTTTAGAGGTATAGTTTGAATTAACTTTGAGTTAAGGTTAGAGTTAGGAATATACTATTAATGCTTAGGGTACGTTTCAGGGTTAGGCATAAATACGATAAATAAAATAATTGCAAGTCAATGTAAAGTCTTAATATGGTTAGAATTAAAAATGTGTGTTGGGGTTGAATTTGCGCTATATAAATAAACTGAGTAGAATTTAATAGAATTAAATTGGGTGCCTTGTATTTCTTACATTGTGGGGACTAACTGCTCTCATGGGGCCAATGGCTGCTCCCATGGATACACATGCTGTTATATTATTATCAGAATCAGAATTACTTTATTAATCCCTTGTGGGAAATTCTTTTCTTGCAGGGTAACCATTCATAGAAGAGAGAACAATAAGATTGTAAGTACAATAGAGCAAAGTAAAATTTTATAAGACAGAATAAAATAAGAAAATTGCAACCCATACAGTAAAATTACACCCTTTCCATCTAAACAGTGTAAAATAAGATATAGGAATAAAAAAAGATAAGGAAAATAATGCAATAAGATAAGCATCTTTTATATACAATCAACAGTATTTACAATTTACAATGCTGCTCAGTACCTAAATGACTATTATTGCACATGGCTGCATTATTGCACATAGGGAAGTAACGAAATACGTAAATAATAAGCAATTAAATGAAATGACTGTCAGACAGATGAATTATACAGTTTGATGCATGGGCGTAGGTTTGCATAGGGACCATAGGGACATGTCGCTACCAAATTTTTGGACCAACCTACTTGTCCCTACCAATAATTTGATGTGAACAACATGTTTATTCTTTACAGCAGTAGTTGTTGCAGCAGTGGCTTCTTTTCCTCTCGCAGCTACAGGTAGAGGAAAGACCAGGCAGCTGCAGCTACCAGACAGAGGAGCTGCAAGATAAAATACATGAAAAGGGCTACACAGAGTAACTACAGCCCATATGTACAACTTGTATAGTGAAGTTAAGTTGCACATGTAAATACAATACATTTATTTGCCCTCCATTGAATGTATTATTTTGCATGATACAAAGAGAACATATTAGATTAAATAAATAACAATGGGGTTTACCTCTGTTTACCTCTGCACAATTCTATAGCATCAAAAGAAAACAGGACAAATCCACATATAACAGACATATTTAGACAATATTTGGTTAAATAGGCACTGTCTTAGTTGCTGGTAAGTTTCCATGCAAACCTTTTCAAAGTGTAAAAAAGTCATAATTCCACATTCGTCAGAGCTAGTGATTCTTTAAGCATTGATAAACAGCATCTAGTATGTGTAGTGCTTATAATATTTGTATTAATGTAGCAATAAATTTTGCTGTCCTCTTTAAACAAAATGTGCCCTGATGCTCACATGAAGCATAAAAAAGAGCATGCATTTTTTCATAGGACCAATGACATCAAATCAATGAAACTGAAAACCAATACTGTTCCTACCAAAGTTGAAATCAAACCTAC